AAGACGCTAGAAATGCTTCGAAGCGTTTGATTGACCAATCAGCACAAAGAGAGTAAAGATTTCTTTATTCTAATTGGTTAATGCAATGCTTCGAAGCATTTCTAGCGTCTTTTCGACCGCAGCCAATGTGTAATACACTGTGTCGTCTTTGTATCTTGCTGGAAAACGCCCATAGTATACCAGTATACCTAGGCCGGTATTCATAGTCCGTTCTTATATTCAAGATCGTCTTAAGTACGATCTTAAGATACTATGCGGCCATTTCATTGGTTGAATGGGATCTTAAGACGACCCAAGACCACACTTAAGACGATCTTGGATATAAGAACGGACTATGAATACCGGCCATAGTATATCTAGACCGAGTGTTGAGGATTGGGGGCCGATGCCCACGTAGAAAAGGACGTACTCTGTTTCGTGCCCCTTGCGTTCTCTCTCGCTCGCACGTAGCATGACGAAAGAGAGCGCTATGCTCTGTGCGAGCGAGAGAGAACGCAAGGGGCACGAAACAGAGTATGTCCTTTTCTACGTGCACCTCGACTCCCACTTCTCAACACTCGGTCTAGATATACTATGTCTATGGGTTCACGCTTGGTACATATCCCCTCTACACGCATTGGCAGCGGGCACAAATCATAGATACAAAACGCAAAACTTGCATCTATGTTATCACGTAGCGACCAATCGATTTTCTGCTTTTCCGAAAATCGGCACGTGGTGACAGGTGATTGGCGACCGTTCGTTTTCATCTACTCGCGTATTATTGTGTGACAAATACAATATCATCAAATGCTTCAATAACATAGTGTATACTGTTCGATATATTCGATACCGGTTCATTTTTGTGAACGTTGGCGAACAGTGGCTAACGCTGGTGTTAAAAAACGTTGTTTCACGGTATGTATGTTCATATATACGTAGATATTCAAATTCATAATGGGAGCTTTTCAGCAAAATAAAATTGTCTATTATAAAAATATATGATTGATAATGTTTTCTCTTTATTTAATATTATATAAATATATATGTGTGCGTGTTGTAATAAATGATACATATTGTTTTAAATTAAAAGAGATTTGTATTTAATATCATACTTAAATTTAAGTATCATCCGAATATTTAACTTAGATATTTACATTTAAAGCAGAGGTCGCGCGTGCTTTTTTCTGTTGCATAAATCTTATGTTCGATAAACAATATATACGTATTATTACACAGAGCACAACTCAAGGTAACTGATTTTTTCCGGTTTCTATATTTGTTTGATATGTTTTCATCTCAAATGTTTATTTTTCAGAATTTAAGAGAGTGTGTGCTGAAAGTATTCCTATATCATAAGATCATTAAAATTTTAAAAAGAATTATAAGAGATCTTTATAAAAATGCTTTTAACAATTGCTTATATGATATACACAACTATACGAACACGACGGATACCAATATATAAAAAAGATATACATAAGGCTTTTGAGCAATTCCAGAATAACTGTTCCATTATGTTTTATCCATTTGGCCATGTTGTTAGTTCCTGTGGTAATTTCAAATATATATTTGCATGTATAGTAAATTTTATTATATAATTTGTTAATAATATTATATTTACTTAATGTGATCTGTAAATATTTTAAATAATACGTTGAAAATTAATAGAGATATATGTGTATATTGTCGGAAAAAAATCATTTGTCATAATCGTATCTTTGTACTGATACTTACAATTATTAAATAAAAGATATATATTAAATAACTCGAAAACAAATTATAATGATTTCAAGCTACCGCTGAAGAGTGGGCAGAACACACTGTGAGCTCTCACTTATGTAGTAACAAGCATCTTGCTAAAATTCAAATGGCAATAGCATTTGATTCTTTAATAGGAATGTATGGTATATATCCACGAGTATGTATAATATTAGGAAATATTTTTTTATCTATATTTATAAACATGGACGACAATGACAAGAATAATAATTATTATTTTTTTAATAGCAAGAAATTAATATATCAAGCTGGCTGAAATGTAAACGAGGAACTTCATTCTTTCCATTGTATAAAAGTGAGGGCTATCAAATTTCAAAGAAATCTAATGACTGTATATATTTTCTGATTGAAACTGATCTTAATACTTATGGCATGGAAAGCTCAGAATGCTGTATAAAAGTATAATGTTCAATTTTTATTTATTTTTTTTTATTGTACATCCTATGTACAATTATGTAAAAAAATAACTATGTCTGAATAATCGTATTTATTATGCACACTTATTATCTTACAGATTGAAGATTATGGTCAAATCAAGGCATGGTCAGTAAATCAAAATTTAAATTTGCTTCTAGAAACAGATATCGATCGTATTACAAGCTTTGCGTCTATGTTTATACATGGACGATATTATATTAACAATTGTTTATTTATAAAACGTATACAATGTATGTATCATCATTGCACTTCAAAATGTGGCATATTTCAACTATTTTATTCTTTTGCTTTATCTTTTCAGCTGTTATAGTAAAAGGAAAACCGTGCATTTATGAGCATTATATACAATTTGCTGATCCACCACGAAATAGAGGCAAGTAATATTAATGTGCTCTTATAACTGTTACAACACATTTCTTTACAATAGTTATTATTAATATATTTTTATCATTAATATATTTTTTATTCAGAAACTGTTATTGCATTTAGTAATGCAGCTCAGAAAGCTACGTTACAGCAAAAGGCTATACCAGTTGATAAATTTCCTAGTGTGTTTGTACATCCCCAAAAAGATCCAGACATTATTGAAGAAGGTAATGATAATTTAATGTGAAGTGTAAACAATTTTTCTGGGAATATACACAAATATATTTTTTATTTAATTTTTATTCTTATAAAATATTAAAACAATCAATTTAATTTTTCTAGAATCGGCTCGAGAAGTTGAGATTCAACAAAAAATCGAACAAATATTGTCGTTCTCAATAACTCCAGTTAATACAGCTTACATGCAAATCGCATCACCAAAGAAAGAAGAATCTCCTGAAGTTTACAGCGAAAAAGAGGACAATATTGTAATTAAACCTCCAAATGTACTTATTTATACAGATACTATACGTGGAGGCGAAAATGTAAAAGCTATATTAAGTAAAATATTAGATCCAGAGAGGTATGTTAAGTTAGATTTCACAATACATATGTATGTGTAGTCAACCATAACAAGCTTGAGCAACTTTTTTTTCGAGTTAGGCATCTTTGTTTCAAGAATTATTAGCTATAAATATTTTTTCTTTTTAGATATATTATCTATTACTTAACAATATTAGATGTTCCTGAGAAGACTTGGATAGACCAGGTTAGTTTGGTTGTCATTTGTGGTAACGTTTTGAGGGGCACTACTGATCGGTTTATAGAATATATTACACGCGGTGGTAAAGTTCTAGCATTATGCTCCAACATGCTACGTATTTTGCTGCCATCGTTCAGGACTGCAGAAATGCGTGATAATGAACTTGTTTATTTTTCGTATGGAAAATGGAAACATGTACGTATGATGCATGATATTTTTTGCTATCAAGCATCTCCTAAGCGAAATCGTTTTTCTGAAGATCACGAAGATGCAAGGTAGAATAATATATATAATTTTTTTCGTACTTTAATGAAACCATATAGTACAATTGTAACAATATATATATATATATA